GGCACTGGCGGAGCGAGGGGGACGGCGCGTCAGCCCCGCGCGCTGCGCCGCGTCCCGCATCCCGTCATCCGCGCGTCCTTACCGGGGTGGATGTCCTGGAAGAGCGACTTCCAGATCGTGTACTGCAGCGGGCCCATGTACTTGGACGTGGGGAAGTCCTCGTAGGTGAGGTTGGTCTCGTGGATCTTGCCCTTGAGCCTGCGGGACCGAGCGGCGCCGTGAGCCCGGCGGGGACGCCGCGGGTGCCCCCCGTGTCCCCCGAGCCCCACGCACCGCTCGGAGAGCGAGGCGACGCCGGCCAGGAAGACGTGCTTGTCGGCCTCGGCCAGGCGCTCCTGCAGGATCTGGCTGCCCTCCTGCACCTTGCGTAGCTGCTGGCTGTAGCGCTGGATCTTGTGCTCGATGTCGGTGAGCGTGCGCGCCGTGTCCGCCTCGAGCTCCTCCAGCATCGCCTTCTGCCGCTCCCGCAGCAGCCGGTGCAGCCGCTCGAAGGCCTCCCCGATCGTCACCCGCAGGCTCTTGGCCGACGACTGCGGGCGCGCGGGGGGCGTCAGGCACCCGCAGCGCTTCAGTTCTTTGGGAAAAGACCCTCTCCGCCCGCTGCTTCCCGTGGTTGGGAGCTTCATTTCAGAGGGAAAACCTGCCCAGGGAGCCGCCACCCACCGCAAAAGCGCCTGGGGCTTTCGGAGCGCAGCTCCGAGCGGGATGCAGGGCAGCGCTGGGATGCGGATTTGCGGTAACCTGTGCTCTGCTACCTAGGTCCTCACTGGGGCCTCCCCAAATCCCCCCATTTAAGCAAAACCCTCAAAAACTCATCTCCCAGCAATGCTCAAAACCTTATTTTAACTTTTTTTCTGCTTTTTAACACCAGGGTGGGGAAAATATATATATACGTTCCCATACCAAATCTCCTGCTGGTGCATTAACGGGTGTCATTCCCTTTTCCCTCCCAAAGATGGGAGCCCAGCTGCAAATAAACGGTCCCTTCCCCATGACTCCTAAGCAAGCAGGGAGAACGAGGAGCTATTTAAAAGCAGCTCGTAAAGAAATAAATTGCAGGGAGTGATGGATGGAGTGCTGCAGCTGGGAGAGCACACGGACAGAGCAGCAATCAGCCTGATGTATGGCTTCATCAGCATGCCAGGAGGGCTCGGAGCCACGGGAAAGGGAAAAAAATGGGAATATGAGGGGAAAAAGCAGGGTTTGGGGTCTGGGGGTTCCTTGGAGGGGGAGCCTCCGGCAGGCCGGGGCTCCCGAAAATCAGGCTGGCGAGCGGCAGGGAGGGCGTCTGGCGGCAGAGCCAACGCTGCGCGTGCCGGGAGCCGCATTCCCGCGGGGGACGCGCTCCCACGGGAGCGGGCGG